TGCCTTTGAAAAACTCTAACTTGAGCTTCGAAGCCCTTACGCCGGGTTCTCCCCGGAGCTTCTCTTCTCCCTCCGTTTCAGGTCCCTGCCACCCGGTTCAGAGGCAAGATCGTTGACAGCTAAGATCGGCCAGATTGTGCACCATCAAGGAAGATATGGCCTTTGGCTGGACTGGATTCTAGGAAGAACCTTTAGAACACCGGCGGCAACCACTGCAACAACCCTTTTTTAGATGAGGGCAGTATTGTTTTTTCTAAAACTCTCTCTCTCTTCTTACTCGGAATATGAAGGGCAATTCGATGATTCCACTTGGCTGTTGACAGTCAATTAACAGTAGGAACCTGCAAGATACAAGAGAGGGCAGTATTATCTTTTTCTATAACTCTCTCTTACTCGAAATATGAAGGGCAATTCGGTCATTCCACTTGGTTGTTGAAAGTTTAGGAAAATAGAGAGATACGTTTGAAAATTTGGGGACTGACTAGGTGTCTAGGCCCAACCCAAAAGTTCAGATTACCGTTCAGGAAATTTCCCGAAAATCGGATCGGATTCAAATTATTTGATCCATTTTCAGCCCTATCTCGTTACTTCTCACCGTTTTTTGATGCACATACGTTCCGTATCTTTCTTTCCCTCCGTTCATTCGGATCTTCCTTTTTCTATGTTGTTTTCTGGGTCTTTGCGCTCTTCATCCTTTTCCTAAGCAGCTATGCATAAAAAGGATGGATTGAAAATTTTCAAATATACCATTTGCGGGATCGATTGAATAAGTTGCCACTCATACGAGTATTCTAAATCATTCTATAAAGAAGGCAATATCTATGATGCTTATATCTGATTCTTTCCCTTATAACCCATATCTGTGAATCAAACGGTCTGGGCCAAGAGCACATCCGCTGTATCCAATAAGGATGACCCCACCACAAAAAATCATTTGCAAGTATGAATAAAGAAGTTTAATAGAGCAACGTCCAGAGGGCAGACGAGATAAATAGAAGAAGATGGTGGGGGCCATGCCTGCCTGCAAATGGAGTGGGACCACCTGCAAAGTGGATCATGGACCGGTCAGACTGAGATTGCGCGGCTCTTTCGCGTCTTTTCACAACAGCCAAAACCAGCCTTTCGCACATTAAAGTTCTTATAAATCGCCGATTATATTTCTCTACGGATTATGGCACTCCTTTCAAAGTTTACGCCTCTTGTTATATTATTCACCACTCAGTCTCAATCACCACACCAACCTCTCACCTCACAACGAATCGATTCAGGGGCCAGTGGTGCATCATGCATGAAGAGTTATATTCTCCCCACCCAGTCACCCACATTTGATAGTTGGGGCTGTGAATGAATCGGTTGTAACCGATTGAACCGAACCGATTATATCAATTCTAGTTTTAAGATGAACTGGGTTTGGTTCTTGTTTGTTGCATATCAATACAGACCCAAATCGATTGTTTTGTTAAGAAAAACAAATGTGTGTGTGTTTTTTTTTTTAATTTTATTAATTTTTATATAAGATAATTTTAATTAAAATAGTTGATTTGTTAACATAATATATATTTTATATATTAACAAAAATTAAGTTTTAATTTATTATCTATATAAATAATTAGGTCTGTCGAGTCAAGAGTGGGAACGATACTAGCTTCTAGCCTTCTGGGTGTTGTAATTTTGTCCCCATTAATAATGGGTTAGAGAACTGGACACTCTGTCCGGACCCAGAACCGTCCCATTGACAGCCCTACTGGTAGTCTACTGCCAGGTAGTCTCTGGTTTCCGATTCTCTAATTGGTACCCCCGTGTGCATCTCACTCTTTGCATTTCTTTCCTTGGCAGGACAAAAGAACATTTCTTTCCTTGTATTTAATTGTTCATGTATTTATTAAAATTCGGGGAAACTGCCAAGACCGGATTTTGCCGTTCTTTCTTCACGAGACCGGATTCGGAAGTTCATTCATTGAAAACAAACATCACTCGACTAGTTGAGCCCTTGGCCAGTAATTAAATTTTGCCACATCAACACCATCTCACCCTTGCTCAATGCATTGCAAAATTATCATGAATATATAAAATAAGTGTATAATTCTGACTTTTTTTTTTCATTAGGCTGTGTTTGGTTGCAGTGTAAATTCATTTGCACCGATAAAAATTATAATAGTGTAAATGATTTGAATGCAAGTTTTAAACTTTTTTGTTTCAAATTTTATCTTACCTTGTTTGATTGCATTAAAAATAAAGTAAAATAAGACCCAAAACAAAATAAAATTAAATCAAAATTTACACTTTCATACATTTATATTAGTGTAAATAAAATTACACTACAACCAACCAAACACAACCTTAATAAAATATATAAGATAAGCCGGTGGAGGTCTCAGGTGTGTCCTTGCTGAAAACATCCAAGTATAGACCATATGGACCATAAGAAGAGTGGATTCCAGTTTTCAGCAAACTGCAATTGTACCCTATAGTCCTACATACTTACTTAAAAGGGGACGATGCTAGATAGCATCTCACCGTTCTTTACACGACAGCATGACGAGGAGGGTGGCCCCTATTCCTTTTTTCTGAGGTTTCTTGCTGGAAAATTACACCGGTGTGATGAAAATATGCATGGGTCCACACAAGATCGGTCGGAGATTATTGTGTCTGCCATCAGCTTTACATGCATGTGTATGCAAGTATGGTGTCTCAGGACTCCGCTTTACTCAAACATCATTACATCACACTACGCTAAATTGTACGTTACATGATCCTTGTTCAACACCATACAAATTACAATTATTATTTTTCTTTTCTTTTTTCTCTCCCTTTATTTAATAAATAAATGGTAGGTGAGTTAGCTTATATCATAAGCAATCCCTGAGCGACGTCAAGAGACTAAATGCTTGCCTTGCCTTGCCTTGTAACTTGTTGAGATGAAACTTCAAAAAAAAAAAAAAAATGGAGGCATAAAATAGTTATAAAATAAAATGGAGATAGAGTAGACCAGTAATAGAAGTCAACTGCTTTTATATGTGAGTGATGGATTCCATTGGATTAAGCACCAAATCTAATTACTGTATAAGTACTTGTTTATTACAATGGAGATTTAGATTTTATTTAATTAGGCTTTATTTCTTCTTAATTTGGCTGCTTAGTGCTAAAATTATGAGTTTATTTTGTAGATGGAGTAGACCGATTAATCAAACTAATAAATTCAAATTACGGATCAAATAAAACAAATAAAGAGCTGGCATCCAGATTAGACGACGCGTACTTTTACTTTCTCCCTTGTCATCTGTACATTTTTTCCACCCAAACGAGTGAACCATGCAACCAAGTCTCCTTCTACCAACATTTGTTACGATTCGTTAATCGCCGCAAAGGTTCACCTTCTCGCATATCAGGTCATCGGGATGACAGTATCCAGGGGTGTTAAATGGACTGAATTTGGGTTGGGCTCGTCCGAAATCAAACTGGATGATCCAATAAGATTTGTTTATATATGAGATTGGACCAATATCCAACAGCCCTGGACCGCTGGACGTGAGGCCAGGGCAGGTATACCACACAATTATTTGTTTATAGGATATATATTTCTGTAATTGGTACCGTATTATGCTCTGGTTAGTGGGTTCACATGTAACTGTGTAAGCAGAAAGCAATCAAGAGGGCATAATCATGTCAGATGTTCTACACGTGGGAACGTAGTTTCCATCTTCATCGTGTACGTCCACTTTCCCATGCTTTCATTTTAATTCCAAATAAATAAATAAATAGTAAACACAGAATTTAAAAGTATTTTTTTTTTGTAACTGTATTATTTTAATTAATTTAGGTAACAAACATGCAAAAATAATAAACACCAAATATCTTGAAAATTGTTCTAATTTTACGCGCATGGTCGCCGAGTTTTTGAGTTCAACCGACGATTAATTACGCACATCTCAACAACTTTTGCTTTTGTTTTTCCCGTAGGCCGTAGCGTTAGAATTCCTCTTTTTTCCTTTGCCCTTTGGATCTTTGAAGTCTTTCACTCTTTCTCTTTCATTTCAAACGTTGGGAATCGATCCGACCTATTCCCTCCAAGCTTCCCTTTTATCGGGAAATCGCAGTTCAAAAAGCCTTTCACACCCATTCCCTCCCTCTCCCTCTCTCTCTCTCTCTCTCTCTCTCTCTCTCCATCCTCGTTAAAGACTAAAGAGTTAAGACGGAAGATGTATTTTCTCAACAGGAGAGGGATATTTTCTCCCCAAGGAACCTTTCATGATTAGCTTCTCTTGGTTGTCCAAGTAGAATGCTGTGAATATTATAGCTACTACCATTTTGCCTGTTCTATTTTTTTTTTGCTTCCCCGTTCCATTGTGTTTATGGAAGCCTTCACAGGGGATTTGAAAAGACAGGCAATTTAAATCAGCTCTATCTTATTTGCTTCTATGATTTCTCCCCGTATAAAAGTGATGTCTTGGTAGGGTAGTGCTTATGCTTTTTCGAGCTCCCAAGTTCTGAGCTCTTCCGATTTTGTCTCCGCTTCTGTTTCCTTTTCATTCATAAAAATGGCCGAGGGAACCAAAGTTCGAGTTGTGCGTTGCCCCAGGTGCGAGAATCTTCTACCAGAGCTCCCTGATTATTCGGTCTATCAGTGTGGTGGGTGTGGTGCTGTTCTTCGTGGTACGCTATTAATCATCTTCTTCATTGTTTCTCTTCTTATCTTCTGTTCCCCATTTGCTTGGTTTTCTTTTACTTTTTCTTTTGGCGTGCTCTTGAATAAGTTTCGAGACTAGAAATTTTTGCCTTTTTTTTGTTTTATAAATACAGCTAAAGTTCAAGCATCTGCAATCGATGAATCATCGAACAAGTCTGTCGAGGAGAGGACTAGAAGCGGTTGTGGTTCTGAAAAATTGGAGATTTCCTCTGAGAAAGGTGGAGCTAACTTGAGCGACGCCTCAGAGACGGATAGGGAGAGCAACGGATTGGAATGCCGGAGGTCCAGAGAGAAGCCCTTATCCTCGCCAGAAAAGGTGTTTGTTTCAAATTCTGCATCTTCGTCCAGGCCCCAAAGTAGGGAGGGTATGAGTAGTGATCATAATGGAGGGAGAGGTGTTGAACCTACCCCGTCCAGATACAACAATGTCAGTACGGAAAAGGAATCTGGTTACGGTGGTGGTAGTAGGTATAGGAATCCTTCCAAGGCTCCGGCCGATTACTGGGTCGATGGGAAAAATCAAATAATCGATGCGAATAGGGATGAATTTGACAAGTCACACATGGAAAAGGGAATTAGAGAAGTAAAACCCCGAACTGTTACAAATGGCAATGGGTCGCTGGGACTTGAACACTCACCAGACTGGCGGCGAGGTGGGGAAAGAGATGGGCAGCCAGCCTCTAGAAGACCCCCCAGAACTGTAACAGTCGAAGGTCTCAGATACTCTAATTTCCCATATCCCGACGAAGGCCCCTCGAACTATCACCTGGGATCTTCTCATGGCTATGCTGAGCCTTCCGTAAAGAATCAGAACAAACCAACTGGGTCCAACAAAGTTGAGTACCTGGAACAAGATCGAGCAGAGCTTCTGAGAAAGCTGGATGAACTGAAAGATCAACTTAGTAGATCTTGCGATGTGGCCGAGAAATCAAATGACAGGATTGCTATGGATAGGAGGATGGTCCATCCAGAACCTTATGGGGGACGTGATCCCTGGTTTCCAGAGGGCTTGGCCGGATCAAGCAGTAGGTCTTCCGTGCAGGCATTTCCGCCAGATAAGCGCTTGCCAAGGCCCTCTTTTTTTAGCAATGGCCATGAATCTGTTCAATTGATGAACAGACCCGATATGGATTTACAGAATTTTTATCCTCCTATGCACGTTGCAAATGACATTCCGGGGTACGGAGATCCTTTTGGGCCACCGATGCTTAGAAGAAATCCCCATCAGCCACCTCGTCAATATACTCAACGACCATCCCACGATTTCTTTTCTGGGCATTACATGGACATTGAATCGGACCCTATTGCTTCATACCCCCAGAATACCTTCTTTCACCAACCAGCCTGCTCTTGTTTGCAGTGCTACAACAAACATTGGCAAATGCCTGCACATTTCCCGCCCCCTGTCTTTCAAAATAGACGAATTCCCGACGCCGGAATTGATCCTATGTTCAACCGCCTTGAGACCCCTGCTCCATTTCCTCCGCGGAATTGTGCTGCTCCCAGAGGCGGTGCCAATACAGCTTCCTTGCATTCTCGGGAACCACAGTCCCGAGCAAGAAGGCAAGTTGATCTTGACTCGGAAATGGATGGGTTTGGTCGGGCCCGTTCAGGAAGGGTGGTGGTAGCTAATGCTACTGGGCGTCGTTGCCTTCCCATAGATGGTGGTGCGCCATTTATAACATGCTGCAGTTGCTTTGCATTGCTACAATTGCCTAGGAAACTTTCTCTGATACAGAAGAATCAGCAGAAACTGCGATGTGGTGCCTGTTCTACCGTAATGTTACTATCAGTTGAGAGCAAGAGACTCGTTGTTTCGTTCCCAGTGCAAGCCATGCAAACATCTCCTGATCAGGCTGAAGATGGCTCTGAAGAGATGGTGAAAGGTCTTTCACATTCTCATACTTATGTCAACCGAGATAGCATAAACTCCTCCGAGGACTTCGATAATTCAGGCTATAACTTTCAGTGTATGGACAGCGAGCAAGGTTTGTCGTCAAAAGACCAGAAGTGGAATTTAGGCGAGTCTCAGAAAATGCAAGGCCATCTCTCTTCGTCATTCAGTTCTTCTGAGAATGAGGAGAGCCCTGATAGCGTTATTGCGAGGAGGCAGGTGTCTAAATCCGGGGAGCAACCCCTGAAGGCCACTGTAACTCCACCTCTTCCAGGGTCGCCCCTTCATGAGCATTCAACTTATGGTCAAGGGACGAACAGGTTTGGAAAGGGAAACTTGAGTAAACGATCAGAGCAGGAAAAGGTGGTTTCTAATAAGGGTACTTTCAGACAAGATTCTATAAAAGATGCATCAGCAGCAACTGAGATGGATGTTTCATTCAATGAATACTCCAATACTGGGATGTCTCAGGATTCAGGGGAGGTAAGCAGAGAAGATGTGCCAAGGGTCAGTAAGGCGGGTGACTCGTTCTTTGCAGGCCTCATTAAGAAGAGCTTCAGAGACTTCACTAGATCTAATCATACAGTGGAGAATGAGAGATGTATTGTCTCAGTCAATGGGCAACCTATTCCAGATCGTTTGGTTAAGAAGGCTGAAAAGAAGGCCGGGCCAATTCATCCTGGACAATACTGGTAAGCACATGAAACTACTCATACGGTATTTTCACTTCTTAATAACAATGTTCTGCCCTGTTTGTATGGATATTGGTGCTTGTGCTTGTGTCTAATAATGATTGCTGGCACCTATTGAGCTGTTGCTATATACAACAAGTTTGTTTTCTAATGAAGCTTGAATAAATTCTAATGTTGTATGAAAGTTTGGTTTCTTCCTCTTCGTAGTTATATTCAATGTTCATCTGCTTTGGTTTCGCTTTCTATAGTTTTACACATGTTCGGTTTTTTCTTCAAAGATGTTTAAATTTATGGTCTTGTAATATTTTTACCTGCATTTACCAGGTATGACTCCCAAGGTGGTTTTTGGGGCGTGATGGGCCAACCTTGTCTAGGCATAATTCCTGTAAGTTCAACTATTGCTGTTTGAATATTTCCTTGAATTGGAATTTAGTAGTAATGGTTTATGTTCATGAATGTGTTTGTCATGTGCTTGCCTTTCTTGCAGCCATTCATCGAAGAATTTAATTATCCCATGCCCAAGAATTGTGCTGGTGGAAATACTAGGATTTTTGTGAATGGGAGAGAACTTCATCAGAAAGATTTGGATCTACTTTCCAGCAGAGGCCTGCCAGATACTGCAGATAAGTCATATATTATCGAGATTTCAGGCAGAGTTATGGATGCAGACTCTGGCGAAGAATTGGAGAGCCTTGGCAAACTTGCCCCAACGTAAGTACCTTGACCTTCAAAGTTCAAAGTAGATGTTTTCTTTATTCTGTGGCTACAACTATTAATAAATCAGTTCTGCTTCTTGTCATGATTCTGATGTTGTCTTTACACTGGATCTAAACAGTAGATCCATCATATCCTTCCTGTTCCTGTTTTGTGGTAAATGAACCTAAAGATTGCACGGTTAGAATCAGTGAAATTGTATGAATATTCCCAAGGTCTTAGTGCCTTTGAGATATAAGGCAGGGTTTACATTGGATCTGCTTCTTGTCATGATTCTGCCCCATGCTTCTGAATTCTGATATTGTCTTTACACTGGATCTGAGCAGTGGATCCATCATATCCTTCCTGTTCCTGTTTTGTGGTAAATGAACCTAAAGATTGCATGGTTTGAATCAGTGTAATTGTATCAATATTCCCAAGGTCTTAGTGACTTTGAGATGTTAGGCAGGGTTTCAAATGGTAATTCATACCTTAGGCTGTGTTTGTTTGTGGTGCAAAAGACCATTGATGTAAGACTACCGCCAGTTTGTTTTTGTCAATGTTTGCAGTGTAAATAAGTAGCAGTCTAAAACTCTACTCCCAGTCTGTTTTTGTCAATGTTTGGATGGAGTGTAGTACAAACACAGCCTTAGTTTTTCTGTTGATTGGATTAAAAACATAACAATCAGACGTATGTGTAATACTAGTACTTGGGAGGGGTGGACTGGATACAAATCTACCCTTCAACATTTTCTTGCATGAAAATAGCCGATGAAGGGCCAATTAATAACATCTAAAGTGGCTGAAATTAATGGCTTATTGTTGTCTTTCACTGAATAATTTATTAAGGAGATTATGAGTTCTTTAATGGTTGATTATAATTATAGAATTTTATCATTTGATAGACTAAAATGCAAAACATTGTCATTCAGTTAAGTCATTTAGCCTTCATCAAATATCCCCTTGGATTTGAACCCCACATTGTTATCTTGGGTTTTGCCATTGCTGAAAATCCTTAGTTTTTCTGTCCATTCAATATCTTCTCAGTTGCAACACTTGTACTATCTCTCACCAAAGCAAGCAATAACATAGTAGGCTGTTAGTTGGCAATTGGAGCATCTGTGATTTGTTCTCTCTCTCTCTCGATGATCATCCTCTGTTAGCCTCTTTGCATATTTTCAAATGGATTGGTTGGGTTTTCTTGCTTTTCGCATTTAGACTTTCTAGTGAAGGTGGCGTGTTCTGCCGATATGTTCACATTGTCTCTGATAGCATTTATTTATTTATTATTTTTAATTCTTCAAGCAACCATCAATTGCTGAATCAGTAGCTTAGGAGTTGGGTCTGATTTGGTTGTTAGCTTCTCAGCTGCCTGGTTAAATAATCCTGCTGGTTCCAGCACCATGACTTCCACCGTTTAATAATTGTGTATAAATGTAATGGGCACCCTTTCGTTGACATCACCTGTGGTTGAAAATTGAAATACTCCAGCCCAGATGCACGCAACCAGTTCTTGTTTGATTGGAAACTCTTGTTCTCTTTGATCTCCTCTATCTTGGATGCTTGTGGAATATGCATTTATATTACCATCTGCAGAAATGAATTTATCATTTTATCTTTCTGCTTCCTGAACAGAGTGGAGAGGGTAAAGCATGGATTTGGCATGAGGGTTCCAAAAGTCGCCATGTAAATAGTGGTTTTATTGGTTCACAAGGAAGAATCTGAAGTCAATCCCCTCTTTAGAGTGGAAAGGATTTGATTGGGAGAATATTTTTTCAAAGGCAATCCACAAAGAAAGTTTTCCTCTGATGAAGAAATATACATGCCTGGTATATATTCTGGGAATTATATGGAGTGTTGTTCTGTAATTCAGAAGTCAGCATTTTGAGTGTGTAATCTGGGACAGATTTCGAGTGTTGTTCTGTATTTTTTCCCTTCTTTTTTTGTATGTAATTCTATATATAATTTTTTTCTTGGATCTGAATATGTCTAGTGTATCAAAGGCTGTAGTGGGACACTAAAGTCAGATTCGGTGTTTGAAGCCATGGAATGGTGATGGTGAGCTCGTATATATCATGCACTCGCGATTCTGTATTTCCAATCAGCCCATGTGCATTGTGCAAGCTACTTCTTATTAGATACATTAAACCCCGTATTGAAATTCAAAATTTAAATTAAAAAGAAAAAAAACAAACACCGATGACATTTTGCCTGAAACCTTCACAGGCAGAGATTTCCGGTGATGACTGATGACAATGTACCGGGTTTGGATTGGGTTGAGTTGGCCATGGTATTTTTCAACCTTAATCCCTGACTCAATCTTTAACCGAACGCTTTATTCCAGGTTGGGTTGTGTTAGATTTGTGATTGCATGCCCAACTCAATTTCCATCCAATGGGCCCGGGGACAAATCATGAATTTTTTGTAATTAAATATAGGAGTGCCCACAGCCCACTTGTGGTATGGTACCTCTACCACTCTACCAGTACTACACCCACCTCTCTTCTCTCTTTCTCATGTTTTTTAGCTTTGGGTAGGAGTAGGACACCGTCATTCTCGGAGATGGCAAATAAACAAAACAATACGACTGCGTTCAATTCTACAGATAATATATATTGTATTGATGGATACAGCTCAGAATTTGAGTAGAGTAATTTGTTGTCTTGATGCACGTCAGATGCAATCTTGTCTCTACGTCTACCATCTTCCATAGGAGTGCAACGGGAATGGGCCTGACCTGACCCATTTTGCACCGGCTCTTGGTCCTGGGTCAGAAAAGTTGGATCTCTGACCTAAATTTGGATTGGGTTTTGGGTTGAGGCCTTGGGTACCCCTAGCCTGACTTACGATCTCAGTCCAATTCAACTTCGGTCTTATCCAACCCAAGTCCGTTCAAATATTTTCATACGTATATATAAAAATACGTTTTCTTTTCTATTATATTTAGGCCCCGTTTGATTCACGGTAATAGGGGTCTGAAATTGGAATCGGAATGGGCTATTCTGATTCTAACTGTTTGATTGAGTGGAAACGGAATCCCATGACATTCCTTCATTCCTTGCCTTTCTCTTAGGAAGGAAATCTCATACCTGCTGATTCTGATTCCCATTTTAAACCGTATTGAATCATATAAATACACAAATTTGAATTCGGTTGGAAAATTTGATATGCAAATTCAATTTAATATTGACAGATATTGAAAATCAATGTTTGAACTTGACCAATTAACTATTTTAGATAATTAATATATGTAATAAATATTTTATTTATATAATTTAAATATTATATATAAATTATATGAATTCATTTCGGTTATGTTGAATCTGAAATTTAAAATAGGATTTTTAGATACAGTTGACACTCCTATGTACATATATATGCATAAAATATATATTTGTATTATGTTTAGATTATGTCTAGATATCGGATTTTGGCTAAATCTAACTCACCCCACCTGATGCCTAAAACCCAATCTGTATTATGTTTAGTTAAGCTCAGATAGGGCTTGGATTGAAAACTAAGACTTGATCTCAAGTTGGGCCATGCCCAAGCCTGAGGTTTTCAATTTTAGGGTTGGGATGGTCCAATCCCAAGATTTTCACCTTTAGGGTTGGGATAGTTAACCTTCAAATCGACTCAAGCCGCATGAGATGCACTCCTTCTAACTTTTGCTACTCAAAATGGGTCCAGATGTAGTAGGCACGTTATGTAAGCACAATGAATGAATACGTAATAGCTATGTGGCACATGTTCTAGTTAATGTGCTTTTCATCCAAACGTTTTTATTCCGTTAGACAGAAATTATCCATTCTTTTATTATCTTTGTCAAAATAATTAAAAATAAAAATAATAAAAAAGGAAAACCTAAACAAAAATGTTTGGATGAAAATCTAAACGTTTTTATTCCTTTTTATTGTTTTTTATTTTTAATTATTTTGAAAAAAATAATAAGATAATGGATAATTTCTGTCTAACGGAACAAAAATGTTTGGATGAAAAGCACATTAAATATAACATGTGTGACACAGCTATTACATGCTCACTCATTGTACTTACCTAACATGCCTATTACATCTGACCTGTCCAAAATCCACATTTGAACCACATGATAGTTGAATCTAGATTTGCTACACGCACATGATCCCATTAATTACTATTGACAATATACAAGTTTGAAATGTGCGGTTGTAGCCTAGTGTCTTGTGCATGTGTGTAGCAAATGGTGTCATGATAGACTACCATCTAATCTCCCCTACTCCAAACTCCTATTAGATAGGTCTAAATTAAATTAAATTTCGAGCTGAATTCAAAGCCCAAAATACAGCTTCGATTGTTAATTGAGCTAAATTCAAATAGTATATCACCGTAGACATATTGTTCGAAGAGATGCCAATACTGAAATATATTAGAAGTTTAGAACAATCCTGTTCTTAGATATAGTCATTGCTTTTGTCAGTTGATCCTTGAAAGAAAAAAAGTTGTAAAGTTATAAATGGTACGAAAAGATGTGTAGTTATTATTGTTCAGTATGCATAAAGCTAGTTGATTAAAAGTATCAACTCATTGGAATTTGGGATCCGAATTAATCCAATTCCTGAACAAGTCTTCTTTTATGGGCTCCTTATTACCCAATTATTGATCTCTGCTAGTCTGGCCCAACACTGTTAATCCAAAATGATGGACTCTCTCCCTGTTTCCCTATAAATTTTTTTGGAGTTTTTATGATTCAGTTCACCCTTGATTTCCTAAGGGTGGACTGAATCTGCCCGTGAATTGATGCTAAATTTATGGGTAGAATGCAGTTTATAAAGAGACTATAGGAAGGAGCTGCAAAAAATTTTTGAGGGGTATTATTACAGTTCAAAAATCCCAATTTTATTTTTCTTCATTCGGCTGCACCACGGGGACAGGATAACCCGCCCGTACCCGAAACAACCCATAACTCTGGTGACAGTCTCTCTACACTCTAGTTCTCTACTACAACCAAGCAGACCTCTGAGCCTAGTTAGCACCGTCTCTCTGTGTGTGATGTCACAATTTATGATGCAACACTTGTACCTATTTTCGGTTTATTTGTACGTGAAAATTTACTTTTAATTATAGATAAATAAATAAATGTTATTTTTTTTTGTCGGGTTGTGTATGTAATGTAGGATTGAGTTTCACATTTAATAAAAAAGCAGTGAGATTATATTATGATTCATAAATTAGTCAGTGTACTGCTGCCCGCTGGGGTTGGTTTATTATAGATTATTACTGATGCGTCGGGTCGGTTCCCTTCCCTATTGGCTCTCTCTACCCAACAATCAAATATTACAAATTTTTAATTGTTCATCTTTGTTTTTCTTTTCTCCAACTAAAAATGGTAAAGCGACGTATCTCCTAAAGAAAGAAAGACGATGAATCGATGAGGAGTGAGGACGACTCCTTTATTTGAAACTGACCACGTACCTAAATTTGATAGCTGTAACGCATATACACATGGCTTCCTGTGCTTCTGAAAAAGCTTCATCTATTTATTAACTCTTAAAGCAACTTGAAAATTTTCTTTTGTTTCTTTGGCTGTAGATGAAACATCATTAATTAACGAGAGAATAAAAAAAGAGAGGAGCGAGAACGCCGAGAAGAGAGGGCTCAAATTAATGTTTGTGTTGGTGTTGGATACAAATACAATCCCTGAGACTTGAGAGGGTAGAGGTAGATGAATCCCCATAAATTTATTATGTATGATAATGGGCGGTGTTTGGGAATGTGGGTGGGCATGGGCCTCCTCTTCTCATCTCCCACTTCAGTCTTCAGAGTGAAGAGAGAGTCTTTATAATAAAGTTAAGGTATCACCAAGTTCCAGCTGGGCATGACCATGAGTGGGCATATGGATGGATCCCACCAATCAGATCAGAATTAACACCCCCCCCTCCCCTCCCCAAATCCCCAACTGTTGTCTATTTAATTTATCCCACATGATAGACATACTTACATAGGTTAAATTAGACCACATGACAGATATTCTTTCTTCGAGGTACAAAATTTGTCCAAGTACCCACTTGTTCTTTCCTTCCTCTCTAAACTTCCAATCTTTCTTGTTATCCTTGTCTTGTGCCTTCTCTCAATACACTAACGTGAGGTCCACACAACCACTTACAACTATCGGTTGGGTAGCTTTGTTTTAGTAATTTCTCTTTTGTTGTAGGTCATGTTGCTGTTGTTGGGTCATGGATATCCCTCCCCCACACCGAACCACCCAAATTAGGAGCAGCCTTGTGGGGCCGAAAATGTTTGTTTCGAAGCCTAGGTGGCCAGATGGCAACCTCATCTCATGTCCATCCTGGTCACTCTGAGTGCAAATTGGTACTTGTGTATATTACCAGTCGCACTCGGTAGGGGACATACATATCCCATGTCCATTATCTTACTGCACTACAATTCCAACAAACAAATCAGACGAAACACAATAATCGATGGACAAGAGGGTCCTATCCAATCCACTCAGAAGAGTCGGAATTTGCTAGTCGTGAGTCGTGACTCGTGAGGTGAACCAATCCACACTAGCAATTAAAAAAGGTTGAACAAATGACAGCCCGAAGTTCACAAGCGAGATAGAGAGAATGGGAAAAACATAAGACTTGAAGACGAGGGGTGTGGTTATTGCTAATTAATTAGTAAGGCAGGTGGCTCATCTGGGTCATCTGTTGGGTTTTCTGATTCTTGAAGACTTGAACTGTTTCAAAGTACAAACTTAGCTTAATGCAAACCAAACCAGTGCAAGCTGATCAAGGACAATTACGGTTTTACCTTTTTCTTTTTTTGTTCGTCCGTCTCTTCCTCCTGCTTGTTTCCCTTTATTTTCTTGTGAGATTAGATTCCTGTCCAGTTACAGCATGGTGCAAGCTACAAACTGCAACGAGTAAGGAGATTTTTGTCATTAATCATATATTAAATGCTACTACGGCTATTTCACTAATCCTTCTCTAAACCAACCGTCTAATTTATCGTCCCTTTTAATTTTTCCCTCTCAAATCAAATCCTTTTTTCCGCAGCCACAGCTCAGAGAACAGACAATAGTTGGGTGTTTTATATTCTGTTTTTATATATATATTTCTCTCTCTCTCTCTCTCTCTCTGTCTGAGTGTGTGCTCTACTGCTCTTGGTGTATTGTTGATTACCACTGGCAACTGGTGGCAAAGCTTTTGGGTCTCGGCTCATTTTCTGTTGTTTCACTTTTTCTTCTATTTTTTCAGAACAAATGTTGAAGGAGATGAGATTCGATTGGAACCCATTGTCCCTTCACAAGTACAACCATGTATTGGTTAAACTCGCCATCTCGATCCTTGTACTAGGTCTTGCTTTTCGCCTCTTCTTCTTTCACTCGTTTGATTTTTCTCCCGTTACTGAAGCACCCTTTGTAGAAGAAACAGTGGCTCTGGCTTCTGAGCCACCGATTCCTGTTGAACCACCCATTCCTGTTGAGTCGCCGGCATTGATCGATGGCCCGGAGATTGAAGATCAGATGCCTCAGAAAGGTATACCATTTCCGAATTTTTTCTGTTTGGGGTTTTCGAATAAATGCATGGACAATATATTTAAATCAGAAGAGTCGTTTGGTAGTCTAGAAAAATAGCCAAATAAACTGCTTCCGTTTTTCTCTTCTTTTCCCGGCTTTCCCCGGATATTTTTTCCCTTTTTGTTTATTTGATTTGGGTTGCTTTATTTTTAATTGTTTTTTCAATAAATATTGATGGATGTTATGAAACCTGATGGGTATAGAAATTCATAGTTTCATACTATGGTCCTCTTCAATCTCTGAGATCAAGTGATTTTGATTCACCTAGATGTTGGTATTGAATTTACATCTGCTTTCTGATCGGCTCAAAATAAGAAAAATAATTTCTTGGCATTTGGAATGATAAAAAAGTTATCAGTTTTACTATAACTATCCTCATACTTCGACTTTGATATTTCCTTGTTATCATTTGCTTTTAACGGGTTCCTTACTTAGAAGACTCGTTTTATTTTTATATACTGTATTCGACTGCAATTTCACTGGTTTAATTGCAGAAAAATGCGATCTCTTCACCGGAGATTGGATCTCAAACCCATCAGGTCCAATTTACACAAATGAGACCTGCCCTTTCATAGAAGATCATCAGAATTGCATGAGGAATGGTCGCCCTGATGCAGAGTATCTTTACTGGAGGTGGAGTCCTCGGAATTGTGAGTTGCCGCAGTTTGATGCTGAGAATTTTCTCGAGCTGATGAAGAATAAATCATGGGCATTAATCGGTGATTCAATTTCTCGCAACCACGTTCAGTCATTACTTTGCATTCTATCAAGGGTACTTCTTAGCCTTGCTGTTTCTTATCTGGCATATACTTGGATTATCGTATTTAACTATTTATTGAATCAAGTTGGTTTGTGTATTTATAGGCTTTTCTCTTTAGAATTTAATGTTCATATGTTTTTTTTTTTATTCAGACATGCTCATTTTAGTTCAGGCTATGTTTATTTGTCTGTATAATAGATTAAAGATTGTCAGGTTGAAATATTTCAGCTATTATTAATGAAAACTTTGTTTTTCATCCCTTTTATTTGTTTTGATGTAAATAGAGCAAGGAAAATAAAGTTTTCATCATGAATATGTCTCAAATATTTCAGCCGGAAAAGCTTCCACCCATTTTACATTGAAACAAGTGCAATTACGCAACCTTTGTAAAAACAAATTATTTAGCATAAATTAAATTTTGAACCTTATGTATTATAGCTATAGTTATAAATTTAACCTCACCATTCAAATTGCCATGGCAATTTAGGCAATGTTTGGTTGAATTCTCATTTTTGCTCAGAATGAGATTCTAGAATGGGCAAGAAGGAGAAAATGTTGCTGTAAACCAAACACTTTTTCCAAAAAAAAAAAAAGAATATGGACCTGTTTGGTTACAATTTTCATTCTCATTCCTTTTGAATGAACCAAAATAAAATTTTGGGCTGCAGTTAGGGGTTGTCATTTGTAGCTTAGTCTGGCCTACCTGCTAGGGCCTATGTTTTCCAGTCCCATCCCAGGCCCAAACCTGCATCATATTTAACAATAATAAGTGTGATAAATGAGAATTATTGTTATTAGCATTTCAAAAAAAAAAAAAAAATAATAAAGAGACTTATTGTTATTAACATTGGGAATGGAGTCTCATATCCCTGTTTCTCCTATCTGTGTCCATTTTGGAGTCTTTATCTACTTTTTAAATTGTAAAAGAAATTTGTATTTATTGAAAGTGAGAGAGAGGTTCCCTCAGTTGTGCAACAACAAAGACAAAACAGGATTGCACCATCATTAACACCCACCCCCTTACACAATAAGTAAAGAATACTTCACCAGCTTCCAAACTATTCCTGTTCAATTCCTACAAATTGTTTGAGGATCCCAACCTATCAGATGAGGATCCTATCCAATACCACATAGTCTGCATCTGTTATCAATCAGTCCCTTGTTGATTAGTGGTCAATGGTGAGCAAGGATGTTAGTTCATTCTGGCCCAGAATGAGCAAGAATTTCGAGCATGAGGCCAACAGAAGTGAACCAAACATTCTGTCATTTTGAGTGAGTTCAGAAGCTGCCACTATAGGTAAGTTCCACGTTCTATTTTAGATTTATGATGTAAGATGGATTTGTAATGTTTACAAAAGAAAAAAAAAGAATGCTTAGCATAGTTTTCAAGGCGCCAAGGTGGGGCTAGGCGACAGGGGGGCGCCTTGTCGTCTAGGCAATGGATTTTTTCAAGTAAAAATGTGTATCCTAGGGTAGTTCCCTAGGTTCCATAGTCATATTTCCTTACTAATTATCCATAATTTTCATGTGAAAAGTATAAATTTCATGTTAAAGTATAGAAAATCAACATATTCCAACATATTAATGAGAAAAAAGAAGAAAGAAAAGAAATTTCAAAAAATATAAGGGCTGAACCCCTATTTCTGTTATAGGAAAAGAAGAAAAGAAAAGGTGGAAGAAGAAAATTGGTATATAGTATAGACACACAGAATTAGTAAAGAAAAGGAAGTAAATGTGTTGATTAGACAACATTTTAAGTTCTTCCTTACTTATTGGTTCAGGTTTTGAAGTCTTTCAGGGTTCAATACAATATTTAGCAATGTTTGTGTTGATTAAACCCTAACAAATAAGAAAATAATAAAAGGAAATTAGTACATAAACACAAAAAATGAATATTTTAGTTTAAAAATGTCTATTTTAAAATTATAACCTCAAAAAATTAAGAATATAAAAGTTTTGTCTAACACACTATAGAAAACTGCTTGGCGATTAGAGGTGAGGCTCCAAGGGCGCCTTGTCGCCTAGCCTTGACTACTATGATGCTTAGGAATTTCTCTTTTCTAATTCCTTGGTGAAGTATTTCCATCTTCAGAATAGATTAGTGGGTTTCCGTGTCTGAGCCAACTGCTCTAGTTACTTTTCGTTCTTTGCAAAGTGGAATCTAGAAAAAAAATATTTTTTAACCTTTTATTAAGTCTGCAATACCATAGAATGCATATGCACCATCCTTTCTTCATGTTTGAAGGATTGTAATAGGTTTGTTTGACAGAAAGATCTAACCTGTTGAAGGGAAACATGCAGTGATTAGGAATTCACACAGTTAATTCCCATGAGCATTGCTGTAGCAAAGGAATATTGAATGAATGCCAGCTTGCGTTTCTCTCAATTGGTGCACTAGTTTTCTTATCTGCTCCAATTACTACTTGCCTATTGTGATTGGGATTCTTAGTGGTTATTTAGAAGCCTTTCTAGGTCTTAGATTAGATGGTTTTCTGGTAAGCTTCCTGCTTTTTAGTGAGTTGTTCTTTAATCAGCCTTTTGGTGAGAGTTTAAAGAGTGCGTATAACTAGTTAATTTGGACTATTTAAATTTTAATAGCTTGTTTTTTTAACAATATGAGACTTGTTATTTTGCATGCTTTGACAATGCATTGTGGGTTTATTTATTTTTGTGAAATAAATTCCCCTAGGTTTGAATATTAGAAAAGAAGCTGCTGAAGTATTTTGTTGTTATTGTGAAGTGGTTTGGTTTTAAAATCCGGTACGTAATGTCTAATTTCATGTTTGCTTCTTTTGCACCATCATATGTTCTGAGCAATGCGGTGATGTTACTGAAAATAGAGTAAATGTGACACAGAAACGTCGCTTTGGAAGCACTGTGATTGACAATGTGACATTTTTATGTTACCACAGGTAGAAAAGGCAGTGGAAGTCTACCATGATGAGGAATACAAATCCAAAAGATGGCACTTCCCTTCCTACAATTTCACAATCTCAGTAGTTTGGTCCCCTTTCCTTGTGAAAGCTGTTATTTTTGAAGATAATAATGGTGTTTCAACATCCGAAGTTCAGTTGCATCTTGACAAACTAGACAGTAAATGGATGGACCAATATCAGAGCTTCGATTACGTGGTAATTGCTGGAGGAAAATGGTTTCTCAAGACTGCAATCTACTATGAGAACAACACAATCGTGGGTTGCCACTACTGTCGAGGGAGGAATTTAACTGATCTCGGGTTTGACTATGCTTATCGTAAAGCCCTTGAATTGGTGTTCAATTTCATCACCACATCCAACCACAAGGGGTTCGTTTTGTTCAGGACTACAACACCAGATCACTTTGAGAATGGTGAATGGTTCAGTGGAGGGACTTGCAACAGAACGGCACCATTTAAAGAAGGTGAGATTGATATAAAAGATGTAGACAAGGCAATGCATGACATCGAGTTGGAGGAATTTGCCAAGGCAGTGGCAACAGCATCTGACAAGGGGTTGAATGTGAAACTTATGGATACTACGCGGCTTTCGTTGTTGAGGCCTGATGGGCATCCTGGTCCATACCGGAGTTTCCACCCATTTGCAGAGGATGCAAATGCAAAAGTTCAAAATGATTGCCTCCATTGGTGCTTGCCAGGACCAATAGACTCATGGAACGATTTGCTGATGGAAATGGTGGTAAACAGCTGAAACATTCCATTGTTGAGTGTGATGATCGATGTAAAAATATCTTTGTTGCAATCAGTCTTCACATCTCCGATTTTTGAGATTCTTGGATGGCAAAGGAGAAGATTGTTTAACAAAGTCATAGAGGAAAGGGGATTTGCCATATTGGGAGCCCATCCAGTGAATGAGTTGCAGAGCTGGTTTTCTGCATGTTGCCTTCTGGGTTAAGGTCTTGATTAGGAAGGTTCAGAAGTAACTTGTAATGCATTAACTATTATGTTGTTTACAGCAACTCCCATTCCAAATTCAAGAAATTGATCTTTGTATCACACTTCTCGCAGTTTTGTCAACAGCTATGTGCCCATGGCTTGAAAAATTTGGAGGCCCATGAAATGAATGAATAGAAAGGCCTCAATAAGTTTACTGAAATGAATATGTGGACTGAAATTGGTTAATGTCACACCGAGTCATTTTTGGGACCATTTTAACAAATAAAAGATGGGCCTTTTGGGCCCAGGGCCTCGGAATGTCATTGCTCCAAAGGAATAGATGATGGGCAGTGGCTAGATTGCTAGAAAATTGTTATTATAGCCCGGTTTGGCAGGGCTCCTGCGTTTTGGAGATGCTAAAGTTGAGAAGGCGTGGTACCGGTACACAGTAAATTACTTGGAGTAGCTTCATGTGGTTTTCTGTGTTGGAACTTGGAACCATAAAGCCAATCATGGCTCAGTTAGGAAGGAGTACAAATGCAAATTTATAGACTGCAAAACATTATATATTGTATGTATTTATACTGTGCATATTTGTAACAGTAAAAATAAAATCAAAACTTTGCTTTTCGATCTATTTAGGTTGCCTTGAGGAAGCAAAAAAGTTGATGTGGGTGAAGATGAAAACGAAAGCAACCTGACCTCCTCCTTTCTTTGAATCAGTAAATAAGACATGTTTAGCCCTGCAGCTAATTCACGCCTTGGATATTTGTTTCACAAGATTAATGGGGAATTATGCCCAAATAGGTATTTATTTCTTAGGCTCAGTTTGGGAAGGGTATCAATACAAATATGCACAGTATTTACATTGTACATATTTGTATTTATACTATTACCAAACTGAGAAGAGTGTAAATACAAATGCATATAATGCAAATTTGCAAATATAAGGTTTTATGCTGTATTGTTATGCTTTAGTCTTTTTGCAATATAATATTAACACATTTTTGAAAAATAAAACACTCATCTTGCCAAGTTCCCAAATTCCTGTTCACAAAAAAGGGTAAATTATAGGAAATTCCCTTTACTTTGGCCCATTGTATAATTTTTCCGCAATTATCTCTAATACTTTCATTTGGGCTGTGTTTGATTTAAAAGAAAAGGTAATGAAAAGAAGGAGAGATAGGGAAACATGAATCCCCAGATGATATAAAAGGTGAAGGAGTAATTGCCTATATATTGTGTTTACATTTCAAACCTCAATTTTTTTGGGAAGAGTGCAAGCAAATATGCATCACTCGAATTCAAAGTTTAAAACCATATATAAGATTTTGCATTTTTACATTGAACTTAGTAATTAAGACTGATGTAAGATGTTTATTAATGGCAGGAATCACAAATTCTGTCTTATGAAGCTTTGGCACGGATACCACTTTGGTTCAAAGTTCAAAGTATTGAGAATTTCAATACAAAACAATTGCGTAAAGAGTTTCTGATTAATGGAGTATTTTTATTATTCTGAACTCATAAATTGTCAGTTGATATAATGCTTTGAACTTTGACCTTTGCTTTGATGAACTAGGTCCTTGGTTTGAATTGGTACGTATCACTTGGATGACATTTTTATTGAACGTTTTTAATTTTCTTTATGTAAGAATACAGTGGGCATAAAAAGCGTGTATATATCTTTTATTTTTATTTTAGAAACTGTTCATTTATAACTGTTTAAAAATTATTTATTTGTAACGGTTTAGAAATTGTCTATGAATTATAAATAGTTTACTCTACATATTTACTAGTATTCTAAAATGTCAGTGAAATAAAACAAGAATTTAAATACAGGTGGTCTTTGTCACAAATGAATTATGAATTATGAAGTCAGTGACAATTATTTCACTGATATGAATGTCAGTGAAATAAAACAAGAATTTAAAGAAGCTTGTTTTTCTATATCAATGAAATGGTTCTTGTTATTTTAGTTGGTTTGGTATGGTATTTTTGGGTCAATTAGGGTTTAAGAAAAAAGGGGACAAAAAGAAAATAAGAAAAGTCTAGGTGGATGTTTTGATAACAAGTACGAGTATTTGTCATAAAGTGAAAGTTCAAGGGGTGTCTGTCACAAACGAAAAAGCTTAGGGGTAATTGTCACTGACTCCAAAATACAGGTGGTCTTTGTCACAAATGAAATTTCAGGGGCTAATTGTCAGTGACCCCATGTACAAAGGGTCTTTGTAATTTACTGCCCAGCAAATAAAAAAATACAAGATTAGTGCTTTTATCTTCTATAACCGTTTGGTATTAGAATCAAGGATCTAAATATCAATATAGGCCGATACGCCCTACTGACGTATATATTATCTTGTATTAGTGTTTTTTTTTTGTGTTTTATTTATTTTTTTCAAAACCAGTTCAGAGGGGTCGGTTTAAGTTCCGACTACTCTCTGAACCATGGCCTGACCCGATACACCCTTTGCAGGGGTGTATTGGAAAGACCCTGATATGATATGTATCGACTAATAGATAACAATATTTTGAACCTTGATTACAATGCGGGCAGAAATACAAGTAACAACTAAACTACCCTATCATCTATTTTTTTTTTATGATAAAAATACTCTTGATTTATTTCTTCCGAACTTTATTGTCTATTTCATATTCACTCATCCATCAACCCACCACCAGTTCAATTAGAGTGAATGAGAGGACCTACTTTTTGGAATTTTGGTCAAAGATAGAATTGAATAGAGGGGCACCATTGTGATCTTACAAACACTGTTGGATTTTTAACGGCAAATGTCTAACAGTTGGGTCGCTAGAGGTATCAAAAGGTTAAGATAAATTTAAAAGAAAGTCGTAACAGTATTTTTTTTTGGTATTACATAAAAGTATATTTGTGTTTTAAATAATAACCCTAAATAATATTTGTAGATGCATGCACAAATGAATCCTTATAAATTGGACCAAGAAATACCTGAATTTGATCCAATCTTCCAAATAAAAATAGGAATAATTACTTAATATATATTTTCTATAAGAAACTACTTACATATACTCTGACCTTTAGATGGTGTTAATGTAAAGTCTTACCAAGTTGCCATCTAAAAGTCATCTCCATTAGTTCTTAAAAAGAAAAATGGAACAGTTAATATTAGATATTTAAATTAAGAAAAAAATCACTTAATCATATACTTAAACCTCCATTATACTTTGACGTTTGCAAAAGCCTCCTTTCACGTTTCAAATAAATACACAAATGAACAGCTTTAAGGCTTTAACTATCTTGAAGTGATGATGATATTAAAATTACGACTATGCCCTTGCTACAAATGTGCACAATGAACACTGTTATGTTCACTCTTCAAATTGCCGAAGTATAACGTTTACACTAATAGCTAGGATGGCTTTAAGTTCAACCCCCAACCTGGCCTTTGGTGTTCCATTGATTGAAATGAGCAATGAAATTGAAATCCACATAAATAAATGAGAAACTACAGACATTCACTCTATGTTTTGGGGTTGTGACACTTTGTCCCAATTTTGTTATACAATGAAACCCATCTATAATCTTAGATTTCATCACTGAGTGGTTAATGGGGTTAATAATAAAAAATGACATTATCAAATTACCCCTCCAAGTTTCTATGTGCTAGCAACAATGATGGCAAAAATTATGAAATACTCGTTCTAAACCATACCATTTGAAAACCAACCACCAACCACTTACTGTTTTTTTTTTAATTTCTTTGGTTCTTTCTTTTTGTTCTTTTTTTGCTACTAAAAAAATTAATTGAACAAGAATCGAAGGATAGAATACATGAGGGAGCACTGCTAGGCTAGTCTCAAAATGTATGTGACAATAAACACCACTTTAACTTATCAAAAGCATCAGCAACAATATTTTGAGATCATTGAATGTACTGGACTGAAATAAGGCCATGACTAGAACTAGAAGCAAGACTCTTGGTATTCAAGGTTCAAAATATTACAACATATTGGTCCGTATATCGTATCGTTCCGACAAGAATTCGATATAGTTCGATATATTTTGGATCTGTATCGTTATTCGTTAATTCATATTTAATACCGAATTTTTCATTAATATCGTTTATTTAAGTCTAATTTTTCTTTCATTAATTAGCTAATTACTCCAAGGTAAATTTAAATTTAAATTTAAATTTTAGCACCTAATTCAAATTCTCTCATTAATTCATTTAATTAGTGATCCCCTATCATTAATTTCATTTTGTTAGTGCTAAAACTTCAAATTTTAGCTATAGCAAGATTCAAACCTTGTTCACTTGATTTTAAATTTTAACAACCACAAGTTTGCCAATGAGTCACACATATTTATTTGCTATGATTATATGTATTTTTAATTTTAAGTAAATTTTCACTTTCCTTAATGAGTGACAAGTTTTTATTAATAAATGCTAGAATTAATTATTAAAATTTATATACTGATAAATATTAAGATTAATTATATTGGTTTTTGAAAATTGACATACACATTTTAATTTTTTTTATATTGTAGTTATTCCATCATTTTTTCAATGGTTATTAATTGTGTTCGGATGTCACACTTTATACAAACCATTAAAATATGGTTATTTTACATTTAAATGACTTATTTACAATCATATAAAATTTGTAATTATAGTTAGTAATATATTTTTTAAGATTTATTTGAATTTTTTACCATATTTATGTGCATCTTGATTTTTCGTCAATATCCATAAATATCCAAAGCATATCCTGATACGTCTTTTAAAATTGTCTTTTTGATACATCTTGCGTTTCTGATACTTTAAGCCTTATTGGTATCCACCAGCAATGGCTCCACCTCCAACGTGCCTCAATCTGCTTATCTCTGAAATGGTTGATGACAACACAACAATCACCTTTGATAAGCACCCGTTTACCTGAATATAATTGAGCTCTTTCAATTGCCAACAATAATGCATGCATTTCCACTGCTTCCAATTGCCAACAATATAATTGAGCTCTTTCTTTCTTTTCTTTACTAAAGACCAAACACTCATTCAAAGTGTTAAGATGAACTGCTTGTTCGGTAGCAGTTCCATAGAGGGCAGGAATCATCGCCACCCTTTGTTGAGAGAAACATGTAAGAATTGGTATTTTAGATAAACTTAGTTGAAAGGATAAAATGATCTTAAAGGTAATCATCGCCACCCTTTGTCCTTTCTCTTACATATATGTGTAGTACTTATCTTTCTTTTTTTTTATTT